AGCTACTGAAGCCCACACGCATAGAGCCTGTGCTCTGCAACAAGAGAAGCCACCACCACAATGAGGAACCCATGCACCACAAGGAAGAGTAGCCTCCACTTGCCACAACTAGAGAAAGGCCGCACACAGCAATGAGGACCCAGCACAGCCAAAAATAAATAAAATAAATAAAATAAATAAATTTTGAAAAAAAAGGAGAAACATTAAATTTGTTTTCTCTGCTTTTTGATAATGATAAAGAGACAGCTAAAAATAATAACTCATGGACTGAAATGTTCCAGGAAAAAAAAATGTAGGCATGTATAATGCATGGCCATGAGATACATAGTAAACTCTAGTTATCATTAATTTAATAAATACCTTGACCTTTTGAAGCCTTGAGGAGTTTTCCTTAGAGTTACATCCTCATCTTGATACATTCAGAATAATTCATTACCATTTTAAATAAAGGTCCATTATATATTACTTTATTTCCATTCATTTTATGGCTAAGAAATAATATTGCTATAATGTTAAATTAGTGGTAAAAAGGATTTTTAAAAGCGCTAATACAATGGTGCATTACCAGTCATTTTTAGTGTAATCACATATAATACTTCAGTAATAAACTATAGCCTGCATGAGTTTAAACCTAAAATTACTCCTTACCTCTAGGTAATTCTCTATAAAATCAACCTGGAAAAATCTTATTAGGTTTATTTTATTCCTTTTATGCAAACTTCAAATGGTTACTTTCTAACCTTTCAAAATATTTTTGGAAAATCAAGAAGGGATTAGTAATTTGGACTTTTAGTTTCTAATGTTTGAAAACAAATTTAAACAAAATACTTGAAAAGCAGTCGTGCAAGATGCAGTTTGCATAATTTATATCAGAGTAACAAATATTGTTGTTCTAAATAATATTTACATTATTGATTCAAACAAGCTCCTTTGACTACTCTTGCTTATGTGATGGATGTATTTTTCCTGCTATGAAAAAAAAATATATCAGCACTATGAAGAAACGCAGATGACATTTCAAAAATAATGGTTGAATAGCTCTCTCGTAACTATAATGACATTTTAACTGAGAAGTTCCCAAACTAGAAAAGCTAAAATTCCCATGTCCATCTCTTTTCCCAAGATATCCTCAAATGTGAAAAGCTTTCCTTTTTTTTTTTTTTTAGCACATCTATACCCTCACACATTTACCATTTATTTATTTATCTGTTTTTTGTGATGAGAATTTGTAAGATTTACTCTCTTAGCAAACTTCCAGGTATACAATATAGTATCGTTAACTATAGTCACCATGTACATTAGATCCCTAGAACTTATTCATCTTATAACTGGAAGTTTTTACCCTTTGATCACCTTCACCCATTTGCCCCACTCCCACTGTATCCTCCAATACATTTCTTTATTGACTTGCATTTTGCAACACTTGGGAAGAAAACGCTTATATCAGGGATCTGAGATTGTCTGATACCAAGAAAATCTTTCTCAATAACTATCAGTAAACATAAGAAGAGGATTTTGTATCTAAAGAAATAGAATATGCAAACATTCATCTTTCAAAAATATAATTTTATCAAATAATTTTTAAATCTTTTAATGAAAAATGATCATCCTCTGCCTTATTTCTGCTCTATCTTTAATTTCCACTCTTCAGAGGAAGCCATTTTAATACATTCAATTGTTGTTTAATGTTTTTCCACATTTTAAAATCACTATTAAATTATTAAAATGCTATTTCTTGACTTAGGAGTTTTAGGTTTTATTTATTAACCTCCTAGTGTGGGAAAGGAGGCATTAGCCCTTGGAATCCTTCCACCTTTCTACCCAATGTCCGCTTTCTCTATCCCCAGTAATATTATTTAGTTTCCACTCATATAATCCAGGTGTATTAGCAATCTTGATTTCCCTTTACCATGTAACATACCATATTCACAGGTTCCATGGATTAGGATGTGGACATCGTTGAAAAGCTTTTCTTTAATAACACAGTTGACTTGAAGCCAAACGTAAATCTGATTTTTAAAGATGTTCCTAATGGTCTAAATTTTTTTTAAGATTTATTTATTATTTATTTATTTATTTTACTTTATTTCTGGCTGCATTGGGTCTTAGTTGTGGCACACGGGATCTGCATTGAGGCATGCGGGATCTTTTGTTGCGGCACGAGGGCCTCTCCCTAGTTGTGGCAGGCGGGTTTTCTCTCGCTAGCTGTGGCGGGCAGGCTCCAGGGTACATGGGCTCTGTAGTTGTGGCACACGGGTTCCAGAGCGTGTGGGCTCTGTAGTTGGTGGCATGCGGGCTCTAGTTGAGCCGCGGGAGCTCAGTAGTTGTGGCGTGCGGGTTTAGTTGCCCCACGGCATGTTGGATCTTAGTTCCCAGACCAGGGATCAAACCCGCGTCCCCCGCATGGTAAGGCAGATTCTTTACCACTGGACCACCAGGAAAGTCCCTCTAAATTTGAATTTATGCTCCTACTAGCCAAACTCTCTCCTGTTCTGTTTTATAATTTAAACATTTGTGACTGTATATCTTACTCAGTGATTCTTTGATCTGTCTCTGATGTGATTTATATACAGCTGTGCTAAATTTTCATTCATTCATACATTGAGTCATTTATTCATCCAACCAAATGCCTCCCATATGCCAGGCACGGTTCTAGGCACTAAGGATTCAGGTTTTAAAAAGCAAGGTCCCTACCCACATGGAACTTGCATTCCATCTCTGGTTACTACGCTGAAATCTCACTCTAAATGATTTTCTGCCTAAAGAAGAATTTAGTCTGAAGCAAATTCACCTTATGCTCATGAATCCAAAAGTTCACATTCTTAGACCATTTCATTTCTAAATGAACATGTATAGATGATTAGCAACAAATAAAAGAAATATATCTATATATTTGCAGTCAGCAAATCATTTCATTGACTAGAGTTTATCAGGTTTACAGAGCTTGGGGCTATTAGAAAAGGCTTAATTAGTATTGATACTATCAGCGTTTGTACTTAAGTTAATATCCTAATTTTACATGCTACATAAAAAACAATACAACAACATCTAAGTGTTTGAAAATGTTGGGAAGCTTTAAAAAAGCTTTTTTTTTAAAAAAAATTGGATATCACTGTAGTACACCTGTAACGTATAATATTGTACATTAACTATATGTCAATTAAGAAGAAAGGAAAGAAAACAATATAATAACATCTAAGTGGTTGAAGATGTTGGGAAGCTTTAAAAAAGCTCCTAGAAAAAAAAAGAAAGAAAAAAGAAAAGCTCCTGGAGAATTTTTCTCGTTTACAGCGACTTGTAGCTATTCATGCTAGTATTGTCAGACTTTATAGCGTAATAAGTAACTGAAGTGACCTGTGACTGTGCTCCACCAAAATATATTTAATTTCTCTACTGTAAATGACCTCTTCATTATAAAGTGCAAATTTACTCTGTTCTGATGTTAATATGTCACATTCGCACTTCCAAATTGCTATATTTTATTACATCTTAATTTTGGTGGAAAACGTTTGCATTGATATTGAAGATGATATGATGCAGATTTTTTGTTCTTTATCCTGAGGTGTGAGGCCCTCCAGCCCACTGAGTACAACAGAAGCAGAGAGAGACTGAATCACTTCTCTGCAAGGATGTGAATAGGCTGTTTGATGCCTGTGGCTTAGTGGGTGAATCTATAAACTGGAGTCAAAAGATTTAGCGAGGGATGGTTTCTATATCTGTGAAAGAGGCAAAAAATATTTGCTTTTCATACATCAGAGTTTTTTTGCAAGGATGAGTAAGATAATGATATCACTTTGCAGAAATTATATACAATTCTAGAAGCTATAACTGGTATTATTTCAGTTTTCTGGTTTTGTCTGCTCCCCAGTTATTATTATACTTTATGTATGTGCATTTAAGGAAACAATGCTTCTCATCAAGATTTGAATTATACAGTTAAACTGCTCCTTTGTTTTCAAAGTGCTGTTTGCTTATTTTGGAGCTAATGATGAGATTCCCTTAATTACTGGTCACCTTAATTGCTGGTCATATTAAACAACAGATGCTGTGACATGGCTTCCCAATGACTGGATACATACTGAACCCAGAGTAATACATCAGACATGAGAGACACTTTAATGACAGCCGTAAATTACAACTGCTTCTAAACTGGGGAATGAACATTTTAGCACTTCCTCTGGGATGAACCCAAGCCCAAGTCATTCATTGAGTTCCTTGGTGTGCAGTGATGCCCGTGGGAAATTAACAGGGAAGTGGAGCCCTTTCCTGTAATAATACAAAATGATTAAGAGGACCTTAAAAAAATCAATTGACTAATCAATAGTGTATAACTGCTTGGAGCATTTTCCCCATGCTAATCCCCATTAAGTTGTTTAAACTAAATATCTCCAGTTTCCCCCATTACTGAACTGATTTATAAGACATGGTCAAGGATGTCAGAGTCTACTGGAGCCAGATTCCAGAGCATTTGTCATTAAAGAAAGATGGAAGTAATTCGTAGATGGTTCTCTCTCACTACAGATTCAGAAGGCTCTTGAAAGGGAAGATATAAGAGGAAGATATAATAGAAAGTGTTCTCCTAGTTTCCAGACATTGGTGAATTAATGTGGTAATCCCAAATTCTAAGCATGTATAGTTGCTTGAGAATATGGGCAGGGACTTGATTGAATTCAGGAGTGATGGAGGTCAAACTAACTATAGAAAACATCTATACACTATATATTTTCAGGCCTTTAAAAATTTTTTTTAACTTCAGCCATGGTGAACAGCATGCAGCAAACAAGACTCCGAATTCCAAACAACCAAAGGTATTCAAACAACACCTGTGAAGTGACATATTATTACCTACCTGTATATTGCCAGCAATTCTAGTATCAAAACCACGTGTACACTTTTTTTTAAAGTTGAATGCCACTGTGCGGGGGTGGGGAAAACACTAAGAAATAACTTTAAACAGGGGGAAAAACTTTTTTTATTGATATGTTTTACTTTGCTGGCAGACCAGAGCAAAGGTTTTGTGAACATTTAAAAGATGAAAAAGGTGAAGAATCCCAGAAGCGGTTTATCTTGAAGCGAGATAACTCTAGTATTGATAAAGAAGACACTCAGGTTGGTTCTCAAGTTTGAGAGTGGCTGACGTTGTTGTTTTTGAAGGTGGGCTGCCTGATGTTCTTGTCATTCTGTTGTCCCCGCTCCCCCTCCCAAATCTCCCCTGCCTCTGAAACGACTGTCCCCCACCAACCTCCTGCCCCCCTCCCCACTGCCTCCCTCTTTGGCATTCAGTGGGTAGAAAAACACCACATCCTGGTTGCTTCAGCGATGGCTCTGTGTTGGGCTGCATGGGTGGTGCTTGACGCAGGCTCTGCTGCATGTCTTGGGGGGTTGGGATGCCGCAGGCTCCGAGCTGATGGGAAGAGCTTTGTCAGTTGCATTTCCAGGTGTCTGTGTAACTCTGGCAGTCGTTCCCCTCCCTACAGCTTTATCCTTCCGTTGTGCACACATTGAGCTGGATTGTCAATACGGACCGCTGATCAACTGATGTAGCTGTAAACAACAAACCTTGTTATGGTGAGGCCAGGTGGATTTTGCAAACTCTCCTAAAATAAGTCTTCACAACAAAGAACTGAGTTCAGGTTTTAGTCCCCCACCCCTTCCCCTTCCCATGTTTTATCGTCCATGTCAGTTGTCTGCTTGTTTTGCACGAACTGGAGCAGAACGTGTTTTTGGCTTGTGACAAAACATTACATTGTTCTAGAGTAGCCTTACTCATGGGACCTCGACAAGGCTAGAGAGACTTTTCTATTGGTGGAGGGGGTGGGATCCAGGGTGATTAAGAAGAAAACTAAGTAAATGGCAAAAGAAAACAAAATTTTAATGATAAGAGGAACAGTAGAAAGTCATACAAATGTCATTACAGTTACCCTTTATGTCTCTGACAATCAAATAGATTTTTTTTTTTTGGCAATGACTTTGCTTTAGAATGCTGAAAGGTAAGACAATCTGCGTCTCACTCAAGTTATTATTTTAATTACCCACAGTGAGTCACCATGAGCCAGTGTGTGCATTTCTGACGCACTTTTTTTTTTAAAAAAAAACCCGTTCATCATTTGTAGCTCGTTTCCTGCCACCACCATCAAACCACACCATGGCTCGAGTTGACTCTGGAACATGTGCCCGTGTCCTGTACTTAGTGGGTGTTTGTTGAATGGATGGATGGACGTGGTTAGTGCGGGGCGTTTGGGGAGGAACGGCAGGAATAAGATGAGAGGGCAGTGGAGACACAGGAAGTGGCTCAGAGGGAAGAACAGCAGTCCTCATGCTGGATTCTTTGAATTGTTAGATTTCTTGACATCGACCTTAATCAGCAGACAAGCTTTTTGAATTTAGTTCCTCTTTTTATCCCAGACGCAATTCACAGAATAAGTCATTGAGTGAATAAAAATACAAGTTAGGATGCAGAGAAATAGCATCCACATCTTCCATTCTGCCTGTTCCCTTCTTTACCACCTTGCTCTGTTTCTCCGGTCCCCAAGTTTTCAAAGCCATTTCTTCTCTTAGCCATCTTGAACTAGCCACTTCCTCCTTTCTCACCACCATTCTGCCTCCTTTTGGGGAGTCAAAATCACACAGGTTTGCTAAGGAGACAGAGCCCATGGCTCATGACCCATCACATAGCCAACTGACTGAATACCTGAGGCACATTCAGGAGCTTACACTCCAGAAACTCCCATGCTACTTGCATCCAAGCATCCCCTGCCATTGCATGGCACACACACCACACACGCACCCCACCACGGCTTCCTTAGGGACCAGAGGGAGTAAGACTTCTCACGCCCCATTTGCTTAAGTGAACATTTATTATTCTCAGCTGACAGTTTTTCTTAACTGCAGATTTCCAACAGCTCAACTTGGATAACCCTCCTGATTTCTTTTTTCTGTTCAGCAAAACAGAATGCATCCATTTAGAGATGACAGACGAAGTAAATCAATTGAAGAGAGAGAAGAGGAATATCAGAGAGTGAGGGAGAGAATATTTGCACACGATGTGAGTAGTTGTTTTCATTGCCTCTTGAGTGCGGTCCTTCCGTCAGCAGCAAGGCAGCCTCATTCCCCAGACAGGGAGCTGGCAGGGACGAGGGAAGCTGGAGGCAGGGAACAAACCGAAGGGCAGCAAACTAAAGGTGTTTCTGGAAGAGGACCTGCTTCAGGGAAGTGATGGAGGAGGGGCCAAGGGTTTGCATGTGTTCCCTAGGGTATGACCTGTGGGGAAATAGAGATACCATTTTGGTCAATGAAATAGACCGTAAGTACAGAGAGAGGTTGCCAGATTTGCAGAAATCCCTTCACGTTCATATTAGCCAGCAGATACCACGCAGTTGTCTTTTTAAGACCAACATTGTACACAGGAAAGAATTACAGGAAAAGAAAGAAGAGTCGTTGATCTTACACACACAGACACACACACACACACAGATTTTCTGCAATCTTAGCAAGTATGGACATTTTATTATATCAAAGTTAAATAGTGATATTCATCCCCCCCACCCCATTTTCAGATCGAATAGTTCTGTGAACAGTTTTCAAGGATAGAGTCAGAAAACAATTTTTATTGTTCAAATCCCAAAGAAGATGTGGTTGGGTTTTTTTTTTTGTCCTTTTCCTCAGTGTGGCCAGAATTAAATGCAATTAAACTAAATACAAATTAAAAGGTTTTAAAAAACTGGATTTAAATGCAATGAAATGAAAAGGACAAGCTATTGCCATAGTTTTCCCTTCCATGAACTCATCTGGCATCCTCCTAAAATGCTGTGGCCTCTTCTCTCTGCGGAGGTACAGCCGTGAGCACCTTTGTGTAGACTCTCTGCTGCCAGCACCTCTGGCGTTACTAAGTCAGGTGGAGCATCTGACCTCCTGTGTGATTTGCTCCTGGATGTCTTACAAAGCCAGCCTAGCATGGAGGGGGACTGCTCTCCCTAGAGGTGTTAAGCCCAAGCCAGTCTCCCTGATCTCTAGATCCTCTCTGCCTTTCTTAAAACACAATTTTCAGTTGAATAATCTGGCCCAGAGCTTGGGAATTAGAGGAGTGTGAGAGAAGGAGATGGAGGTGGCCATAGTTGGCTGATGTCCAGGTACAATTCTAGAAGATTCTAGAAAATTCTTTTATCATGGTCAGAATTATTGAGGGTGCATAGGACAGTAAGACACATGGTAGACCTTTCCTTATGTTTGCTGGATACAAGAATGCAGTAATGAGAGGATCTTTTCTAGTCATGATACTATAATGATACCAACTGTGGACTGGAGGTAGAATGTTACTGTCTGATGACCTTCAAGAAGAGAAATATTTCTGAAGGCTAGTTTATTTTCTATTTGCTCTCTCTCTTTCTCTCTCTCTCTGACACACACACACACACACACACACACACACACACACACACACACACACACACCTTTTCCCTCTTAGTCTGGTTCTGGCAAGTCATATAGTTTATGAATGAGTTGTTACATTGATAAACAAATACTTATCACCCACATAATATACAAACAACATTATTCTTTTTTTTTTCTTGCCAAAGCTGTGCCACATTGCCAGACACTCAAGAGCCAGGTGACAGTAAGTAACGTCACTGATGCATGCCTATGATGGGGGTGACACTTGCCCTGCTGTACTTCTTATGTGTATTCTCGTGGCCATAGGGAGATCGTCAAAGGGAGAAGGGGTCAGCGTGACTCCCTTTACACATTGCATTTCCTTACATCCATCTTAAGGAGATTATTCGTAAGCGACCTGGGTTCCAGGCTAAAGATTGGAGGCAAGGGTTCCTGTTTAAAGCCTCTGTGGCCACATGCTGTATTAACTTTTTTTAACAAGTAAAGGCAGACTTAAATGTGAGAAAGCTTAAATGCAAAGCTATTGTCATAGCCTCTTTATTCCATGAAATCATTCAGCAGCCTTCTCTACAATGCTGTGACTGCTTCTCCCTATGGGAGTGGAGGCATGAGCTCCTTTGATAGGCTGTCACGCCTGGTGGCCAGCACTTCTGGCTTTACTGATTCAGGTGGGAAACTGCCTGTTTCTGATACTGCTTTTCACTTGATCTCCTAGGGCAGTAGTTTTTTAATCAGCATGCTGTACCCAGAGTGTACTCATAAAGGGCTTCAGAGATCAAATAAAATCGCTGATATTACCTGCAAAATACTATGTTCATGAGCACGTGTGCATTTTTCTAAGGATAAGATCTCTAGTGTTTATCATATTCTTATGCTTTCATGATGCTTAAATGAGCCACTTTCCTAGAAGGAAAACAAAATGTCTTTCTCCCTAGTCTGATAGCTCTTGTAGAGACAATGCAGTCATACCACTGGTATTCTCTGTTTTAGCTATTAATATTCCCAAATTTAGCAGCTTAAAAAACAAACAAAAATCTGCTTCTCTCACAGTTTCCATGGGTCAGGAATCTGGGAGTGGCTTAGCTGAGTGATTTCTAAGTGATGACATCAAGGCTTTTCATGAGGTTACAGTCAAGCCGTCAGCTGGGGCTGTACTCATCTGAAGGCTTGGTGAAGTGGTTATCTGCTTCCAAATTCACTTGAGTATCTCCAGGCCTTAGTTCTTTGCTGGCTGTAAGCTGGAGATCTCACTTCCCACATAGTGATGTGGGCTTCTCCATAGACTGACAGGTGTCTTCAGAATGGCAACTAGCTTCCCCCAGAGCAAGTGATCTGAGAGGGAAAGAAAGAATCCCAATTGGAAGCTGCAGTCATTTATAACCTGATCCTGGCAGTGACCTACCTTCCTTTCTGCTGTATTCTGTTGGCACACAGACCAGCCCTGGTGCATGTGGGAGGTGCTACACAAGGCAGGGGTCACCGGGCGCCACCCTGTACTAACGGGATAACACAAACTCAAGGACATAACAGCAATATGAACTTTCTCAAATATATATAGTAACATAAAGACAGGACCCTTTAGGGAACCTTCACCTATGCAATTCCAGATTCCCAAATGATCATTACTGCTGCCCAAATTGTCGAGGTTCACAAGATAATAATGAAAGTATATTAACTCAATTGTAAAACAAATGCAAAGAATCCAGCATAAGGAAATTAAGTTACAGGCATCTAATCTTTTTTTTAGCTGGTCTTTAATTTAGCATCTTCATAATTTAAAAACAGAGGTAATATAACCAGCTTCCTTTGCCAATTATTAAGTAGTGGAGTAGTTCAAACAGGTTCAAATATCGATATACTTAAGTAGGATTTTTTTTTTCTACTTGAAGTTACAATAGAGATTTATAGGAAAATACTTCCTGGTATTTACACTTTAGCAAAATCCAGATTTGTTTTAAAATTAGAAGGGTTCTTGAATATTTTACAAATGTATCTTGGTTTCTAAGGGTGTGTGTGTGTGTGTGTGTGTGTGTGTGTGTGTGTGCGCGCGTGTGCTTTTGTACATAGGTGCACAATCAATATATGCAGATTACTTCGGGGTTTTCTAGAAAAAGTTTTTCAAATATAGTTTGAGAATTTTGGTATCTTGAAATAAGACCAATTTATCTATTATTTGGGAACTAAAATGTTATTTAGAGTACACAACAATTTAGTTCTCAAATAATAAATAAATGTACTTTTGTTGTCAGAAATACTTGAAATATAGCTCTTGTTTCCTTTGGCAAGAATTTCAACTTGTTTTATGATTAATCCTATGCAATGTTGTTCCTTTTAGGAAGGTTAAGTTGATAAAGCAATATATTTGAGAGAGACCTCTTTTGCCTGTAGGGTGATTTCTGAAGGGTATTTATGTATAAATAGGGATTCAGGGAGGACCTCATCTTCAATCTCCTTTGCATGTGCTGGGATTCTTCAGGGAGAGCTGATGATGAGGGTGTGAGGCACCACCTGGCTTGGGGGTGGCCCGTGGAAGAGAATTCTGTAAGCCATCGGCAAAAACGTTTTCCTCCTTTAAAAAAAAAAGACCTTTATTTACATCTGAGAATGCATACACCTGACAGCTCTGAATGCTGGGCTTAATTAATGTGACAATTTTATCTTTCTCTGCTATTAAAATTTGTAAGTTATTAATGCTACTTTATACACACACACACACACATACAGACACACACACACACACATTTTCATCAGTTACTGAATCGTAGCCCATAACTGTCTCTTGTCTTATTTATGAAAATGTGGTAGATGGATGATGAGATGATTTTTTAGGACCTTTCCACAAAAATCAGGCAGATGCTCTGGAGATTGGTTTTGGGGAACATCATCTTTGACTTGCAAGTGACTTATTTTTTAATTCAAAGAGTTTTGGGCTGCTTCACTTTCCCCCAAATGCTATTAGATTAATGAGTCTGAAGAGGTCAGCATGTCTTTGATCAACTCCTTCAAAGAAGTAATTGAGTCTCAGTTATTCAGTACCAGCCAGAACATCCTAAATGTAATTGACCTCTTTTCAACCTCAACAGATGAGAAATAACAAAGTATTAAATTCATCGTGGATATCTGACACAATCTCTCTTTTGTCACATACCCGGACTTGGCTCAAACTTGACTCAAACCGGTAGGGAAACCAAAGTAAAGGAAATAAAGACAATGGGATATTTAGCTTACTTTAAAGAGATCCTCATAGGAATAATGTCAAGGGCACATCATCTGTATTTGTTTCCTTTTATAAAATTAAATGTCAAAATTTTTTAAAAAGATATTTTTCTGAAAAGCTTTTTTCTTAGTTGGCTGTTTTTGCCTTTTGTTTAATAAAATTTTTGCACACTTGATCTTCGGGATGCATGTTAAATGCACAGAGGTTAAAACAGAAATGGTTCGAGAGATGCCCCCATTAGAATGCTCAGACCACTGAGAAAAACATTTATGCCCAATCTAGCCCTTTGGCTTAGTGGAAGGAAATGATTTCTCCAGTAAAATGTAGAAAGAAACCAATATCCTGCTGGCATCTCTGAGCAGTGGTTACATTAGCAGCATTTTTAATTCAAAAATTCAATATTGAAAGGTCATTATTATTTCTTTAGTTTTATTTTATCTTAAAATCAACCTATTAAGTCTCTGTTTATCCCTTTAGCCAGGTGACTTATTCATCATTTAGAAAATCCACACGTATAGTTTTACATTTGTAAATTTACATTTACAAACTTAGTACTTTGAACATGGTTTTATATTAGTTCCTAAACACAGTCGTATTTTAGGACTGTTGCACCATATTTTGTTTAGACTTCTCCTTCTCTGTTTGTTAAAATTTAATTTGACCTGCCTTTCCCGAGCACATAATGATAATGGAATTTTATCTTCCCTAAGTTGTATATTAAACCCAAGATAGCAGAGAAATGCGTGCTAGAGAATGCAAGCTAAGAAGAAAGTCACTGGGTTTTTTGTGTGAAAAACTAAGATATATTAGATGGAGCTTGATATTCTTTCCCAGTTAACTTCATTTTGTTCTCACTTGTTTCCTGAGCACCCTGCTGCCCCCGCCAACTCCCCACCAAGATTGTTTGATAGCATCTCTTCAGTTTGAGAGTCTTGCAGGTCATCTGTTTATGTTGTGAGAGTTCATTGTTGCCAGGTCATAATTTCCAGATTGTGGCTTTACAGCTCTCCCATCCTCAGGTGGATCGTGCCAAGTTTGCACGCTCTGCCTTGATCTGAACTTGTCCTTTTGGCTCCTGATGGCGGCTGCATCTCGGCAGCCCTAGAGGAAACCACTAGCTCAGGACCTGATGCTCACAGGTTTCTCCAGCAGTTTCATTCACAACGTCTCTCTTCTGACCTTGGCGCTACACGGGCTAAATCTATTTGAAACCTGGAGACACCGTGATGGAAAAGAGCTGCATGAGAATGGTTTACACTTCTAACTCTAACCGTTTTTTTTTTTCCTTTTTTTAATTTCCATTTTTTCTGAAAATGGTACATATTTTTCTTAATTCTTTTCCTCTTGGAGGGGAAAAGTAGTTTGAAAAGCAGGCAAGGATTTGGGCTCCCTCAGCATATCCAGAACATCTGATACAATGCTTTTTTTTATTTTTCAGTCAGTTTGCTCCCAGGAAAGCCTTTTTGTGGAAAACAGGTAAAATGAAATTTGCTTTTTCATGTCTTTAGAGGAACAAAGTCTGTCATGTGTCTTGTTTTGCATAGATATACTTATGCCATATATAAGTGTGTGCTTGAATATATGTATAAATAAATACATATATCTATGTGTACACACGTATATATGCACACATATATGTTATTTAGCATGTCTAAAAGCTATTTAACTTTGGGGAAAAATTCCCTCCGTTACTTCCAAACATAAGTTTCAACAGTTTCCTTATTTAAAGTCTCAACTTCTGGTCCTTCCAAAGGTATAATCCTGTTACCTTCCCCAGGCATTAAAAAGTATAAATGTTGAGACAGGAACTTGCAGTTTCATTGGCTTATTGAATAGGCTGCTAAAAGTACTTGTGTATTTGGTGTTATTGGCCTCTTCCTGTGCCCTATCGTTATATGTAGCTACACAGATGATAATTTGAATAGTATTGTTTTATGTTTCTCATTCTAAATAATCTATCTGTCTTCATAAAAGGCTGAACTTGGAAAACTTATCTAAACCGATCTAGATTTATCAGTGTACCTGGCTGGATATTAGTAGAGAAGGTGGTGATTATGACATGAATGTTTTAAAACATTTATACAAAGTCTTGAGTATAAGAGCAGAAGTTCTCAAATGTAGCATGTACCTTTTAAAAATAGTTCTAAACTGATAGAGATATTAAAATGCTCCATTGATTTAATTGCACGTTTTCAAGGGGAGTTAAAGAATTCCTCATTAGCTGTACTGATCACATTAAAATGCATCACAGTGGGCAACTTGGACTGGAAATATGGTAACCATTAAAAGAGTGGTGGCTAATTTCATTTCAGGTGTTGGCTTAATGGGTATCCCTATAAAATAGATTAAAATGGAGGCTATTTGATTAAATTCCAGTACTTAGAGAAAAGTTAAACCTGGCATTCAAGAGGATTGGTTTAAAAAATGCCCTCATTCATAGCAGCAGTTAGAAAACGTCAAGTAACTCCCCTCAACTGAATAACCTCTCGTAGAAGAAGGGATGAAAGTAGTGAACAGGTCTTTACAAGGCATCCAGAAGCATCCTCAAAAACCCATACAGTTTTCAACAGGTATTCCTTTTTTACAGTAAATTAAGAATCCATGAGCTTTAACATCGTAGGGATGTTAAAGCAATCCAAAATTCTATATCCAAAATTGAATTTGGATGTTGGATGCAACATTTGGATGCTGAAGCAGTCCAAAATTCTGTATCCTTACCCAGAGAATGAAGTGAGCATTTAGAATTCAGTTTAGTAGGACATGTCATTCCCTAGTCTTCTAGCCAGTCATTTTCCCTACTTACTCCCTAATCTTAGTCATATACTTGTGTTTTGTATGAAAAGACTGCTAGTGCACTTGCGTCCCTAGTATTCAAATTGGATTATATTCATCAATACAGTAATTTGTCACAAATATGCATATTGCATATGTGAAGAAGTACTGATGGTCCCCAAAAGCAAAATTCTGAATAGATCCCTACAAAAATAAATATATTTCTTTGATACCTGCCTTTGGAAGGCATATTTCACTGTGCCTAAAATATAAAGAATAACTAATATTACCCAAAGAAAAAACGCGCAACCGATATATTTAATTAATTAAATGTCTGTTATATCTCTATCCATTTCTTTGATTCTCCCCTCCTCTTCCATTCCATCTGTTTCTTCCCTTCCTTCTCCCTATCTAGCATCAGTACTTTATCCTAGGGTAGGGAAAAATCAGGCTGCCATTAATTTATTAGGGCAAAATTCTACATCTTGAAAATAAACCGTAGCATATAGGGTTGATTTGCAAGACAGGTGTGCCATAGTTGAGTACACATCCATTTAACATAGGGCATTTAGTACCCTTAGATCTTATATCATAAAAATCATGTTTTTCATTTCCAGTAGGCTCTTGGAAGACAGTAACATATGCAGTGAGACCTATAAGAAAAGACAGCTCTTTCGGTTGGTATGGTTTACTTTTTTAAAACTGTGTTTTCAGATGATGTGGTGGAATCAATGTTAAATATAAGTGTATTAGTGTAAAATATCTCTGTTCATGAAATAAAATATGTTTGGTAATCTCTTTGTAAAGGTTGTTACTGAGCTAGTGTTGAAGCCATATGGGGTCCTGTGAGATACAGGACTGGGGAACCAAATGCTTTGTCTACAGTCCTTTAGGGTTCTTCCTCTGATTTTCTGGGATCTTTTCCTCCAGGACTAACTTTGACAGCACACTGATTTCACATTCCCAAATCAACTTTGGTGAATTACACTGAGTTAAAATTTCTCTTATAGCTTGCAATTGTGTATACGTTCCCAACACTGGAAAACAAATCAATGAAAACTCTATTTGAGTAGTTGATTTTTAGCCACTACTATCCATCATAATATTTCAAACAATATTTTTTCAAGCACAGATTTTATTTCTAAAGAAAGATATGGGATTGTTTCCAATTATAATGAACTACTTTATTTATTTATTTATTATTATTTTTTTTTTTTGCGGTACGCGGGCCTCTCACTGTTGTGGCCTCTCCCGTTGCGGAGCACAGGCTCTGGACGCGCAGGCTCCGCGGCCATGGCTCACGGGCCCAGCCGCTCCGCGGCACGAGGGATCCTCCCGGACCGGGGCACGAACCGGTGTTCCCTGCATCGGCAGGCGGACTCTCAACCACTGCGCCACCAGGGAAGCCCTATAATGAACTACTTTAAATCAAGATCTGTGTGGGATAAGGAGAATAGATTTTATATATATATAATACGTATAAAGTATTATACTAGGCTAGAGAGTGCCATGAAAGCAGAGGTACTATACCCGCTCTCTCATTATTTTTTTAATTAAAATTTTTTTATCTCATTACTTTATTAAATGTGTCTCTACCATCCATTATAGGGCAATGGATACACAGTGCTGTATCTATTTTGTATGTATATGTGTATATATATATATATATATATATATATATATATATATTCAATACCTAATACATATATTTACCTAATATATATATTTAATATGCTAGTGCTTATATGAATATTAGGATTCATCTCTGTTGCAGGAAGGGCAAAGCAAACAAACCAACAGAACTTCTTGACCACTGAGAAAAAAGGAAATACCCAGAAGTAAATGAATTCTGTGCTTAGAATATATCTTTTTGCTGTAAATCTGAACTTATGACCTCATCCTTAGAAAAGTTAGAGCAATTTCTTTTCTTTTTACACTTTGGCAGAAACAAACGAAAAAACCAGGATCTATTTTTTTAACTTCCTTTACTTTTCTAGGTTGAACTATACATCTAATACCTTCCTCTTATAGCATTAGAGAGTTTCTTTTCACACTTGAAGATTAAGAAAGTAACCTTGCATTTTTTCCCTTGAAAGCCCAGAGAAGGACTAGAATGTATCTGTGCTCATGCAGTCACACACCATGACCTGGCTTGTTTAGACCAGTATAGATAAAATGTGGGTTCTTGACCCCTAGAGGCATTTAGTTTTACATAGCCCCAAATCTGGTCCCTAGCCAGAGCTACCATCTACTGAAGTCAGCCATCCCAAATACGGATGCTATAACCCACCAAAATTACCAAGCACAGAAACTCAGGAATATGACTTAGCACAAAGCCATCCACAAACTGATAAAAGCAGTTCAAAATGTAAATCATACCTAACTTGGTAAAAAAAAAAAAAAAAAAGTGTCACGTTCAGACATGAAGGACAATAAAAGTTATCAGTAATGTTAATCAGCACAGAAGCAGAATTTAGAGTATGTGCTTTATGACTACTCTGGGGTCAAATTCTAGTTATGTACAAGAGGGCCAACGCCTCTTGATGGCCAGATATTCATTATCGTTGTCTTCCTGGTTTCCAATAGAAGAACACTAGGACTGGGCTTGTTAGGAAGTATAGGAAGGCACTTGTGGATATGATACCTATGATTCCACACCCAGATAGATATGAAATTCTGTTCTGGAACTTACCTTGCCAGTGTTAAGGTGAATGATTGATAGAGCAGTAAAAGATATGATTTCAGTGTATCCGTATCTAGAGATCATAAATTAAATGCATTATTTTGAATCTCATTAATGCTAACTCTCTAAAGCAACAACTTAAATTCCATTTTTTATAAAATGCACAGATCTTGGCCTGAAATGAGGATTTGAGCCAGTGGATTAGAGGTATAAGAAGTTAAGGAAATCTTAGGTTGCCTTATTGGCTATGGGATGTGACATGAGCCTAGAGGAACTACCCAGTGCTTTAGAAACACACTAAAATGCACTTAGGAATAGTGGTGGACACCTCCTTTGCAGAGAAAGGCTTAGCCACTCTGGCATTTAGAGGAAGTCTAAATTCCTCCCATGGAGGTGCAGAGTTGATAATTGAAGCAGACTTTAGTGATGATCGCCTCCATATGGGGAATTGCCTTCTGATGCATCCTGTATGCTGAGGACCCCACTCCAAATCTTTTCCTGTAATAAATATTCTGCGTTATCTACAGGGGAGATTATTGTCACACCCTTGGTACGTTCATGGTTGCTAAATAATGATTTAGTCAGGCTTTGTCAAGGGTGGGTCAAATTAATCAGAATTATATGAGAAAAGAATGAAGCTGAGTTTGGAGATTTAAAGGGAAACAATCAGGAATAGAGCGCCTTGAAAGGGCTGGTTTTTCTCCACCCAGTCTCCTCTGGGCTGTTTGAATTTCATAGGTGTTTAAGAACTAAAGTCACCTGGCCCTTGGTGAGTGTCTGATACTTCCTACTCACAAACTAGTCTTTTTTTAAAATAGTCCTTGTTTCTAAAATCAGCCATCCCCGAGGTACGGAACACAGAGAGAATGTTTGTAAGAAAACATTAAGAGAGGACAGCAGGGCGCTGAGTACTTTTTGTTTTGTGAATTTTCTGTTGCATTTCCTCCCCTCACTGTACAAAGTCTTTATCACAGACTAGCTGTTTCATCTTTATTATCTCCTGGATCCATTGACTGTCTCAAGTTTTCACAAAATGAAAGAAAACGTTTAGTAAGTAAAGTTGAAGCAAAACCTAAAATTTTCTGTATACCTTCTGTACAATTTGGTGGGTGAGTGTTTCAATCAGATATGTACACTTCTAGCATCCCAACAGCCCATGATTGTCTTTAGAAGAATATTAATAAAACTGCTATTCACCACTGTGATCAAGATTTCTATCACATTGCACAGTGATATGAAATTAGGGGTTATATCTATTGCCCATGGTTTTTGTCCCCTTTGCTTATTCATAATCCATGAGAATCTTAGAATATTTTGATGATCCATTATTTCCAAACTGCAGAAGAGCCTTTGAAAAATAGTAACCAAGTCACTCTTTAAGCAGTTGGAAACCAATGAAAATGCAAATTTCATCAACTTTCTCTATAAAATACATGCAGTTTTGCACACTGCTTAGAAATACTCTGTAGTCTTCAAAAATGACTTTTGGCTATTGGATCTCTTCCAATAAGTTCAATCTTTTTCTATTTGAATTTTGAACAAATGTGTCATTTCATCTATGGAGCTATTTTGTTATTCCCATTGATCTCCTTGGAAAGTTTCGTGTCAGTGTAGTGTTTGCACTGTTGTTATTATCACGAATTTTTCTATGTGAAAGGTATTAAAGGGCTCTTTCCTCTGCCCGTGAAGGTTAAACTCACTGGGCAAAATTCTCACCAAAGGTTAACAGAGGAATTCCTGTGATTTCTTTGCTGTCTGCCAAAGCCTTAGTACGTATATAATATAGTTAGCAACTAAATTAGTAAATGGCTTCTTTGAAACTGTGTATTTTACCATGGTCCAATTACTTAATGCTAAAGGGAAAGATGAAACTATTCTTCGGTGGGAGTTGCTTTTAGGATCATTTAACATCATAATTGCTTTCAAACACTGATTCATTGTTGATTTGGGTCAGGAGAATTTACCTTCCTCTCTCCTCTCCACAAGAGAAGTTACCAATTATATCTTATATCCTATTTTTCTTGTTGTTTCCCCTTCACTGGCAGAGGGACCATGTGACATTTCTAGGTTTGGTTTTTCGTTTGTAGCATGAGTGTTTGTGTGATGTGTTACCTGTCTGTACATCAACAAGGTGTCTGTGCGCTGTTTGTGAGGCGACAGGTGTCAAGGAAAGGGTTGACAAGAAGGGTCTTGTGTAGACGGTTCTTACAAGAAAGGTCCCGCTCTGTGTCCGTTCTGCTCTCGGAATCTAATGCTGTCCCATGCATCTTTCTGATGGCCACACTCCAGGGGCAACAGAGACAGCTCGGGGAGAACATCTGGAAGTCGGCAGAGCAGCTCGGAGAATGAACTCAAGTGGTCCGACCACCAAAGAGCCTGGAGCAGCACAGATTCTGACAGCTCCAACCGCAATCTCAAGCCTGCCATGACCAAGACGGCGAGTTTTGGGGGCATCACGGTGCTGACCAGGGGTGACAGCACATCCAGTAGCAGGAGTACCGGGAAGCTGTCCAAAGCAGGTAGTTAGTACTGAATGGGTTTATGTCCTGTGATAGTTTCCTCTGATTCCACCCAAGCTGTGCAGTCAGTGCTCTCACTGACTTCCCTGAACTAAAGATAATGATGTGAATGATATTAATCACTGGGATAGCAAAAAAGTCAGAAGGTGCAATTGAAATAACAATACTGCCTCTTGCGAGCTGTGTGCCTGGGTCCAATTATTAACCTCTCTAATCTTCAATTTCCTTATCTATAAGATGTGGGTGGTAATAGAATGATACTGTAACTCCCCTCAGTAGACTATTGTAAGTTTAAATTTGACCATTTATATGAAATCAGTTACCAAGGCACCTGCACAAGGCGGCTATTTAACCAAGGTTAGCTATTTTTAAAAATTCAATATTATGATTTATTCCTTAAAGATAAGGAATAGGATAAGGAAAGAGAGCCTCAGAAATTTTCAAGTCTCCAAGTAGCTAGGTGCATGCATCTTCTTTTTTCCCTTTTTTTTCTTGTAAGTGAATAGTGATCTTTTTTTTTTTTTTTTTTTTTTTTTGGGTTCCGGGGCCTCTCCCTGTTGCGGCCTCTCCCGCTGCGGAGCACAGGCTCCGGACGCGCAGGCCCAGCGGCCGTGGCTCACGTGCCCAGCTGCTCCGCGGCATGTGGGATCCTCCCGGACCGGGGCACAAACCCGTGTCCCCCGCATCAGCAGGCGGACTCTCAACCAGGTACGCGGGCCTCTCACTGTTGTGGCCTCTCCTGTTGTGGAGCACAGGCTCCGGACGCGCAGGCTCAGCGGCCATGGCTCACGGGCCCAGCCGCTCCGTGGCATGTGGGATCCTCCCGGACCGGGGCACAAACCCGTGTCCCCCGCATCAGCAGGCGGACTCTCAACCACTGCACCACCAGGGAAGCCTGAATAGTGATCTTTTGACATAGGTAGTTAAAGTTTGCATTCATACTGGTGCTTTCATAACCTGCATGTGCAGTGAGTGGGAGTCCAGGGCCCCGAGGGGAAATGCTGAATGGACAACGCCAAGCAGAGGTAAAACACGGGCAGTCCTCCACTGTGAATACTTTCCCAACCAAGCTTCTCACTAACGCTGGGGAGCCTCTTTGTGAAATCTCGGCTCATTATGCTAATGGTTTAACATAATTATGTTGCTGACAAGTGCTTCCTAGGAAATTATCTTGTGTTTTCCTACATAGGCAGAAAATTAATAGCATTTAGTCTCAGCCACTACTTTATGTATATATCCTGCTTCTTGGAAAGATTCAGGTGGGCTCGCACTGCCTTCTGTCATCTTTATTCACCAATTGGTGAATTCTTGATTTCTTCCCCTAATTAATTGCTCTTATATCCCACTATTGGGATATAAGTCAAGAAGTCAAGAAAATCCACTGTGGTACACTTGAGTTCCTGTAAACTAAGACAGGTTAAAGAGTTTTAAATCTCCTTCAGACGCAGAAACCAAGTACCTTAAATGGTTCACTTAAAAATTCCAGCACAGCCAAAGAGCTCTTAAGATTTTTAAATTAATCGTCCTTTTCCACACACCAACCACCAACCATCTCCAAAGCAAAGCTCTTTGGAAACATTTAAAACACTTCAAGAATGCTAACATGCCATGTTCTTTGAAGAATGATTAGAAATTGTAAGTGCTTCAGACATTTTTTTTTTTTCTTTTCATCTAAGTGTCTCCATTTGAAAGCCTGTCAAGGTACAGGAATGGCAAGAAAAACAATTAAAGGGGATCAAGATAGGATGTCAAAACAAACTTACAGTCTCCCAAGATGGTTTTCTGAAGCAAAGCTGTCAATTTTGCTGTCATGGAGCTTCAGAACCACACAAGTTTTTGATCTTTTACTTTGTTGTTCACAGTGGAATGGCAAACTTTTTTTTGACCTTTTAGAAACTAAGTCTGGAGTTGTGACGTTTAAGTTATTCGTCTCCTCCTCTAATTACATAGGTTCTAGCTTCAAAGAGTTAAAAATGAGACTCTTTCCAGGTGGGAAACATGTTTTGCTACATTTGGGGAAAAGCATATTAACTGAAGTCAGAATGCACAAGCACATCCTCTTGAGATCTGGGCTGTATTTCCCTTACTGTACCCCCTGCACTGAGCACAGCAGTGCTCACCTATCAGGGGTCCAGTGCAGGCCTGGGGAGACAGCTGATTTCTTCACATCCTCATTGGGAAGAGGACTTGAATGGCGCTTGCACTGCGACCCCAGCTGTTTCTTGGTAGTGGCGATGGGGTTGAGAGAGAAGTCTGTGTGATATCTGTTTCTTTCCACACTGGCCACACCATGTTGGGTTTTTTTGTTTGGTTGGTTGGTTGGGTTTTTAAATCTAATTTTTATTTTATATTGGCGTATAGTTGATTTACAATGTTGTGTTAGTTTCAGGTGTACAGCAAAGTGGTTCAGTTATACATATAACTGAATTCTTTTTCAGATTCTTTTCCCATATAGGTTATTACAGAGTGTTGAGTAGAGTCCCCTGTGCTATACAGTAGGTCCTTGTTGATTATCGATTTTATATGTATTAGTGTGTATCTGTTAATCCCAACCTCCTGATTTATCCCTCCCCACCCTTCCCTCTTTGGGAACCATAAGTTTGTTCTCAAAGTCTGTGAGTCTGTTTCTGTTTTGTAAATCAGCTCACTTGTATTGTTTTTATAGATTCCACATATAAGTGATATCATTTGGTATTTATCTTTCTTTCTGACTTAGCTCACTTGTATTGTTTTTATAGATTCCACATATAAGTGATATCATTTGGTATTTATCTTTCTCTTTCTGACTTACTTCACTTAGTATGATGATCTCTAGGTCCATCCATGTTGCTGCAGATGGCATTATTTCGATCTTTTTATGGCTGAGTAATATTCCATTGTATATATTTACCACATCGTCTTTATCCGTTCATCTGTCGATGGACATTTAGGTTGCTTCCATGTCTTGGCTATTGTAAATAGTGCTGCCATGACCATGGGGTTGAGAAATAAGTGTGTGATATCTGTTTCTTTCCACACTGGCCACACCATGTTATTTTACTACCGTCCTTCCCTCTTGATGTCCAGAGCAGGGCTTCTCGACTTTAGCTGCATCAGACTCACAAGAAGAATTTGTTCAAGCACAGATGGCTTCTGTACAAACCAAGCTTGAGAAACAGCTGCTCTGGAGAAATAAGATAGCCTTCCGTTTTGTTTTCACCATTCTACATGGCCTGGCATCTTGTTTTCTGGAGGCAAGGGTATCCTTGTTGTTGTTACCTTCCTGGTCTATGCCCCGGGGTATTTCTGGAGGCAGTGCAAGATGCCTCATCTTTCCATCACTTCCTCTTCTCCGTGTTTATTTTCGTCACCACATGAATGCATCCTGGATATTCTTTTTCCCTCGTAATTTCAGAAGCTTTAGGTTATTCTACTGAACTCTGACACTTGGATCTGGAAACATTTTCTCAAACTCAGGAGAAAAGAATACTCATGGTTCAGGGTCCCTGTAGAAGAAAAATTGCATCTGATGAGTTAAAGAGGCTGGGAAGACTTTACCCATAACTAATTCAGTAGAGGTCAAGACTGTTGCAGTAGGGGAGAGAAACTAAACTCAACCCTGCTGAAACAAAGGCAGGAGAGTCTGTAAATGAGCTAGAGGGCCTTAAAGAGGTGATTGGTCAATTTGATAAGACCGCCTGTGTTTGCTGATTGGTGCTGAGACTTGCAGAGAAAGGCACCGTTTTTCTTGAGGACTTCACTTCAAAGGGATGGCTCCCAAGTCCTTAAGAAAGACCTTCCCGGGTTGTAAAACTGTTAAAAGGCTGGGAGAAGGTTTGCATCCTTTTTTTTTTTTTTAACATCTTTATTGGAGTATAATTGCTTTACAATGGTGTGCTAGTTTCTGCTTTATAACAAAGTGAATCAGTTATACATATACATATGTTCCCATATCTCTTCCCTCTTGCGTCTCCCTCCCTCCCACCCTCCCTATCCCACCCCTGTAGGTTGTCACAAAGCACCGAGCTGATCTCCCTGTGCTATGCAACTGCTTCCCACTAGCTAGCTATTTTACGTTTGGTAGTGTATATATGTCCATGCCACTCTCTCACTTTGTCACAGCTTACCCTTCCCCCCTCCCCATATCCTCAAGTCCACTCTCTAGTAGGTCTGTGTCTTTATTCCCGTCTTACCCCTAGATTCTTCATGACATTTTTTTTTTCTTAGATTCCATATATATTTGTTAGCGTATTGTATTTGTCTTTCTCTTTCTGACTTACTTCACTCTGCATGACAGACTGTCTAGGTCCATCCACCTCACTACAAATAACTCAATTTCGTTTCTTTTTACGGCTGAGTAATAATCCATTGTATATATATGCCACATCTTCTTTATCCATTCATCCAATGATGGACACTTAGGTTGCTTCCATGTCCTGGCTATTGTAAATAGAGCTGCAATGAACATTTTGGTACATGACTCTCTTTGAATTATGGTTTTCTCAAGGTATATGCCCAGTAGTGGGATTGCTGGGTCGTATGGTAATTCTATTTACAGTTTTTCAAGGAACCTCCATACTGTTCTCCATAGTGGCTGTATCAGTTTACATGCCCACCAACAGTGCAAGACACTTCCCTTTTCTCCACACTCTCTCCAGCATTTATAGTTTGTAGATTTTTTGATGATGGCCATTCTGACTGGTGTGAGATGATATCTCATTGTAGTTTTGATTTGCATTTCCCTAGTGATTAATGATGTCGAGCATTCTTTCATGTGTTTGTTGGCAGTCTGTATCTCTTCTTTGGAGAAATGACTATTTAGGTCTTCTGCCCATTTTTGAATTGGATTGTTTGTTTTTTTCTTATTGAGCTGCATGAGCTGCTTATAAATTTTGGAGATTAATCCTTTGTCAGTTGCTTCATTTGCAAATATTTTCTCCCATTCTGAGGGTTGTCTTTTGGTCTTGTTTATGGTTTCCTTTGCTGTGCAAAAGCTTTTAAGTTTCATTAGGTCCCATTTG